TCAGAAATCCAAGTTCTTTTGGATATTCTGGGTACCATTAATATTTGGCTTAAAAACAAGTTTTGTCTGTGACACACATTTTCTCTCCATTCACTTTCTTTTTCAGGATAATACTAAGCTGAAATGATGTTAAAAGAAAAATTGGGAGGTATTATAAACTTTGAGGGCCCCTGTGAGATGCTATTAAGATAGGATTCCTTGACATACTACAGGTTCTCTGGCTTTTCAGATCAGAACCACTGCTGACCGTTCCCACTTTTGTGATCCCTTAAAACACATCTTAGAAAAGTAAAATAAGACTACTTTGACTTTCTTATGTCTGTGCTACTACTTGAAAACTAAAAATGAAACCTCTTTTAAAAGTAAGAGATTGAGAGTTATACGAGCCAGGTCACTGGCCGGGCCTGTGGGGTTTTGAATGTTATCCTGGGATCGCTTTGTAGCATTTTTCTAATTCCTGCCATTTCTTTCATTTCTTTTTTAGGACATGCTCAAGTTCTTGCATGCTTTAGGACACTTTGATTTCACTCTGTGTTGCTAGAATTGAATCCACCCACCTGCTCCTCCTTCCCCTCAAGTCTGAGTTGTCAGCGTCTTTAAGGTTGTGGTGATGAAAGTACAGCCCTGGATCCCAGTGTGGGGGCCACTTCAAGATCCTTTCATACAAGAGCCCCTCAGCTTCAAATGCTTTTCATGATGCTACTCAGATGTTACTTACTTTTTTTCATCATGTTACATTTAAACTGATGGTGCAAAAGCGGTGGCAGGTAAAACTGCTGGTGCCTTTGCCTAAATCAAGTCAGTGGCACCAAAACTATTCCTCCCTCATGGTGAAAAATAAAAAAAAAAAAGAGAATCACATTCCTTCAGATTGTTCTTCGTGAAACAGTGAAAGAAATAATAATTTTATCTTATCTTGATTCCCATTAACACTTTTCCTTTTTTAAAAAAAAAAGCATAGTTGGTCTCTCTCTCTCTTTTTTTTTTTTTTGGCTGTACTGTGCATCCTGTGGGATCTTAGTTCCCTAACCAGGAATCAAACCCCCGATGGAAGTGCAGAGTCCTAACCACTGGACCGCCTAGGAAGTCCCAACTTTTCCTCACTTTTTAAAAGTTGTAATTTGCCAACAATAAAACTGACCCTTTTTAGTGTGTACTTCTGTGAAGTTTGACAAATGTGTGTAGTTAGTAACCACCACCTCCACAAGTGACTTGCAGGACAGATCCATCAGCCCTAGAAGTTTCTCTCTGTCCCCTTCCCCCCATGTCCAGCACCTGGCAACTACTGATCTGTTTTCTCTCCCTATAGTTCTGCCTCCTCCATAATGTTACAGAAATGGAATCATATATTGTGTGGCCATCTAACTTCTTACACTTTGCATAGTACGTTTGGGATTTGTTCTTATTGTTGCACGTAGGCATGGTTTGTTCCTTTTTATTGCTGAGTAGTAGTACATTGTGAAGGTGTACCAGAGTTGTCCATTCCTTGGTTGAAAGACATTTGGCTTGTTTTCAGTTTTTGGCTATTATGACTAAAACCACTGTAAGAATTTGCAGGTTGTTGTGTGAGTGTGTTTTTTTGTGTCATCTTGAAGTGGCGTTGTTGGGTCATATGGTAAATGCATGTTTTGTATGTTTAAGAAACAACTACACTGTTTTCCAAATTGTTGTACAATTTTGTGTTCCCACCAACAATCCTTGAGCGTTCCAGTTACTCCACTACCTGGTCAACACTTGGCATTGTCGGTTGGTTGTGTGAGGCCATTCCAAGTTTGTAGTGGTATCTCGTTATGGATTTACTTTGCATTTTTCTAATGACTAATGGTATTGGGCATCATTTCATGTGCTTACTTGTCACTTGTATGTTATCTCTAGTGAAGTGACTCTGCAAATCTTTTGCCCTCCCCCATTTTTTTAAGAAATCAGCTCAGTTTTCTTTTTTAAAGATTTATTTGTTTATTTTGGAATGTGCTGGGTCTTCATTGTGCCCATTTTTTAAATTGGGTTTAAGTTTTGAGAGTTTAATATATATATATGTATATTGTAGATACAAGTTATTTAATCAGAAGTGTAACTCACAGTTACACTTGTTTCTCCCACCTCAGTACACATTTTAATATTCTTTGTGACAACATGAGAGAGTGCATGGGGCACTTTTGCTGTATTATAAGATGACTGACTCCAAGGGAAGGAACTTCTGTGATGCAGTTAGAAGCTGAAATAGGTCGCTTTTTCCTCCACAGAATCTCATTTTTTTCTTCAGAGAATGACTTGCAGACTGGTTATTGAGACTTGCATATGCTCACAAGGATCAAAATTATCCATTAAAAACCTTGAGATGTTCTCAAAAATGGATGAGGTGAACCTGTTACTTCCTGGAAAACAACTGACGATACTTTCGCAGATGATGAAATTAGAGCCTTTTTTAAAAAAAGAATTTTGGGAAGCTTGATACAACTTGTATCATGTTACAGATTCCAGGTAGTTAGGTTTTTCTGGTGGGATTGGTGGTGATATTACTGTATGATTTTGGATGTTGTGTAATGAAATGAGTCAGCATTTGGATGATCTTTGATGCTTGGTAAAATAATACTTTGTAAATGACCAGTACGTGATGGGTAAAAGATTCAGTCACTGTAGAAGATGGCGCAGTGAGTTGTAATGTATGAGGGTTCACAAGGTCTTTGGTGCAGTTTCAGCTTCCATACTGCTGCTAAGCTTTAAGAAACTGCCACTTGTTGAGTTTTCTTAGAGTGTCAAGAAAGAATATTCACAATTATCTGAAAAGACTGTTAAAGTACTCCTCCCTTTTCCAACTATATATCTGTATGAGGCTGGATTTCTGTCATATGCTTCAACCAAAGTGTATGTAAACAGTCAGTGTAAAAGCAGTTGTAAGAATATACCTGTCCTACTGTTAAACCAGATATTAAAGAGATTTGCAAAAATGTGAATCAGTGCCAGTCTTCTCACTAAATATTTTTGTTTTAGAAATTTTTTGCAAAATGTTAACATACAGTAATTTCATTGTAATGTTTTATTAAGTGGTAATTATTTTAAAATATCTGTTTGAATTTCTAATACGGTAAGTGGCAACAGATAAAGAGCTTGCATCAAAATAAGTTCTTTGGGGTCTTCAGTAATTTTGAAAAGTGCAGAAGAGCCCTGAGACTGAAAAAGTTCATGGATCACTGCTTAAGAGTTTAATTCCAGCATCCTAGTTGTCTGTTGGTGGTGCAGAATGTGGTATGCTCTAGCCTGAGACTTCTGGTTTTCAAAAAGCAATTCAGAATTCAGATTTCCTTTACAGAACTGGTAATTTTTATGTCCTTTAGAATGAGATGTATCATCTTAGATAACTTTTTAATTCTGCCTTCTATTATCAGAGAAGATATTCAGCACAATTCAACACAAACTTCCCTTCACCAAGTACTTCATATTATGGGAAATGTATGCCCTTTTCTTTACCAAGTCAGCCAGAAACCTCAATAAAGTGTAAAAATAGTAGATTTGCATCTGGGTTACTTAGTCCTTCCTCTTTTTGTCTCAGATAGAGTTTCTCTTTAGCACTGAAAGCATAGGGCTGATGTGAGAGGGACAATGAGGGGACTTGCTTAACCCATGAGCTGGGTGTGAACACCGTAGAGTGTTCTTGGTAGATTCATTGTTGGCCGCATAGCTCAGTGATTTATTCAGCCGGCTCCAGTGTCTATATTCTGTATTTAACATTCAGCTTTTTAGCTCTCATCAGTATTCACAGTCCAAGATTTTACAAGGTACTTTTTTCATTTTGTTTGTGCTGTCTCCTCTGACACTTGAAATGTCAGAGGGAATAGGATGCGTGTAGTTCCCTGTGTTAAAGCCATAGGCAACAAGCGCACTGATTGAACACCCAGAAGAGTTGATTAAGAAATCATGGAAGGATCATAACAGATATCTTAGTTTAGGAGCATGAAGGTTATAATCTTTGTACACAAGAGACCATGATTATAAAACGACTCCTTTTTGGCTTTTATACATGGTTGTGTTAGATTATAACATTTAATGGTAGATATTGGCCCAATGGGGGGTAGAAAGGTTTTTAAGACCTTGTAGCTGTATCTATAATCTAAAAGAAAATAGACCACAATACTTAATAGCCTAGTCTCACCCCCTGAACTTGAAGCACACTAATCTTCTGTGCAGAGTAGAAAGTACAATAGAGATATTTAAAGCTAATACTGTTGGGGAATCTTCTAACGAGATTTTGAATTTTAAAATGTCTCAGGTTAAAATACTTACCTCCTAAAAGACAAGCTGTGTAACAGTAACTCTTCTATCTACCCTTTTTTACCCCTCTTTCACAGCAGTCTTCCCAAGGAAAAGAAAGTTGTTTTAGAATCTTCATCTGAATGCAAATTACTTTGCACCAACTAGCAGCATGTATGAATGTTAATGGTCCTTTAGTTAATTTGCATTATAGCCTCCTAGACTACTTTTAAGTATGGTCTGTTAGAAAAATTAAATTTTGTCCTTTACAAAATTTAAAGACACCCTGGTGGCTCAGACGGTAAGGAATCCACCTGCCAATGCAGGAGGCACAGGCAGTGTAGGTTCGATCCCTGAGTTGGGAAGATCCCCTGGAGAAAGAAATGGCAACCTGCTCCAGTATTTTTGCCTGGAAAATCCCACCGACAGAGCAGCCTGGGGTTGCAAAGAATGAAATGACTGAGCAGCTAGCACTTTCACTTTATGAACAAACTTGATATTATAGGTGCTTAGGTGGTGGCTATTTTATTTTGAAATCAGCTGAGAGCATAATACTCAGACTATTATTTTAAAATTTTGAATTTTTATATTTGTTCATGAAGAGCCTTCTGTAACAACTTAGAAACACTTTGGGGAATAGTGGTTCATTGCTGAGGGTGGGGTCTGATTGTAATGGTTAACACAAGTCTTGTATTAACTTGTTCATAGTAAGTGTTGTCTCATTTCTGTCCTTTCCCTTCACCTGGTTACAGAGAGGTTCAGAAAGCAGTCAACACTGCACAGGGCTTGTTTCAGAGATGGACGGAGCTCCTGCAGGACCCATCCACGGCCACGAGGGAAGAAGTCGACTGGACCACCAACGAGCTGAGGAACAACCTCCGGAGCATAGAGTGGGACCTAGAGGACCTCGATGAAACCATCAATATCCTTTTCTGAGGCATCTGTGCCTCATGAGGCACACAGACGAATGGACAGGTTTTCATTCAGATGTCTCAGATACGTAGATGAGATACTTTCTTTGATCATCGATTGATGCTCCTCCTGTCTGTACCTTGGCACACTTACAGTCGTTGCCCGGGAGGCTCAGGTAGAGTGATCAGTGCTGCTTCAGTGCAGGAAGGTCCTGCAGCATAGAGGCCACACAGTGCAGCGGCTTTGAGCTTGGGCCCTGTGGTCAGACCAGGTGTTCAGGTGCTGCCTCTGCCAGTTATACTTTGCTTCTCAGTAGAACGGTAGGTAACAGCTGTACCTAGCTCACACGGTTGTTGAAGATTTATCAGATAAAGAGTTTAGGATGGTGCCTGACACAGTGAACTTTCTTTTTTGTTGTTGTTGAGTCACGCAGCCTGTGGGATCTTAGTTCCCCAACTAGGGATCAGACTGTGCCCCCTGAATGCCTGCGTTGGAAGTTCAAAGTCCTAACCACTGGACTTGCATGAGTTCCCCATAGAGAGCTTCTGTGAGTATTAGCTGTCATTATTTTGAGGAGGTGTAAACAGACCAGTATCATACATTGGTAATTAGAGATCAAAAGAAAATCCCTCCCCAGACTTTTTCCCATTCAGTGCCATTGAGCATTAGAGAGGCATCTTTATGCCAAGTCATGCTATTGATGTTAAATAAGTTCACTGATATGATGGGTGAACCAGGGAACTGTAAATGTTGGATTACATGGCCATTTTTTCAACTGGAAATATTAAATCAGAACTTTAGATTGAAGATATGCCATTTGCATGTTCTGAGGCCTGTTTTGAGTGTAACGGCACATTGAGGAAACCAGATTTTGTTAGGACCAGTCTGTAGTCAGCACACAGGTTCATATAGAGTTGATGTGTGGAGTGGATAATTTCTTTTCATCAAAATGACCCTAGGGTGCCTTTTAAATTATTAAAAGACAAACGTGTCCTCTAAAACTAGTGGAAGAGAAATATGTGAGGGAGTGGGAGCAAAAGCACCCTTACAGGGAGATATGTCCTGCCTTGCGATAGGAGGGAAGAGAAGAAGATTGGGGGAGACAGAAAAATTGTGAGATAAAGAGAACAAAAGTTTTAATAGATATTCTTCATTCAGCAAATAGTCATTGAGTGCTATGTGCTAGACATCTTGCTAGTTACTGAGATTGGATTGATAAGCAAAAGTGTACCAACGCTTGCAGAACTTATGGTGGGGGTAGAAGGGGGCTTGGAGGAGGGAGAACAGACATTAGTCAAATAATATCACAAGTGCATCCTTGCAGATGATAAGAGATGAGTACAGAGAGTCGTGGAGTGACCCAGGGTCGGGGTGAGAAGAGCAGGGAAGCCTCAGAGAAGAAGCCTCGATTTCTAGATTAAGAAGCAGAGTTAGCATCTTGACAGAAGCGAGATGGTTGGGAATGGCAAATGAAAACGGCTTGCAAATGCTATCCTGGGAAAGATGATCTGGAGTCAAAACAATGGCAGGCATGTGGAAGAGCCTAGCTTAGCTGTGGCCGGACACCCATGGGTGTGTAGTGAACCCAGGCAGGTCACTTCTGCCTTGGGGCACAAGGATCCTCGTATAGCTATGGGCAGAGAAAGTTTGAGGATGATCAGTGTAAGCTGACTGTGTGTTGAGAAATTGGGCCAGATTTTATTGCTTGCCTGTGAGAGATCTGTGGTTTAACACTGATGTTGGTTAGGTTTTTGCTGATGAAATTGCTTTACCTTGACTTTTTGACCCACGCATAGTTGAAGCAAATCCTAGGAAATTCAACCTCGATGCAACCGAATTGAGTATAAGAAAAGCCTTCATCACAAGTACTCGGCAGGTTGTCAGGGTAAGGAATGAAATCTGATTATGTTACTTGTGCAAGAAAAAGCCAGACTGCTTCAAACTCTTTCCCTTATTGTAAACTACTAGGTCAACTCTGAAACTCCTTTTTAAATGAGTTAAATGACAGTTTCCACATATAATTTCTCTGATGGAAAAGAAATCTGTTAGTATCATCAGGCTTATTTCTCAAAGCAAAAATGAGCGAGGAGACTGCTGGCTTTGGGAAGGTTATTGTGTCTTTCTTGTCCATCCGTCTCACTCCTCCAGACCAGTTGTCTTTTTCCCTCTTTATTTCTTAGTATGCTGTGTTCCTAGACAAAAAGAAGAACTGCTATGGTAAAAACCATTTGGTTTCCTGATTGATTGGTAATCACTTTGCATTGTGAAGAGTGCTCTTGGTTTGGATGGCGGCCTCTTCTACCATCTGAATTGCTTCTGGAACTCTTGCAACCCAGTTACTGACATTTCCATATACAACTGCTTGACAGCCTTTCGGGAGTTATCCAGAGCAAGCAAGCAATCATCAGCCTATAAGAAATCAATCCAAGGGAAAAAAAATCTTTAGTCTCAGATTATTTAGATATTAACCTATTGTTAAAAAGACCTGAGAGAAAATAGCATGTAAGTGAAATATCATTAAGATATCTTTGTATTTTGAAACTATATGGCTAAGCCAGTTGATTAGCATAACTAGATGTAAGAGAACCAGCTGTCTTTAACATATGTACTAGAAAGCAGCTTCCTTGAATAAAAAGACTTGGGATCATACCAGTGCTAACATATGGCTTTTTAAGAGTCATCTTAGGCAGGAACCTTGCTATGTGTTTGCCAAAGACTCCGTGTCATGTGATTTCCTTTTGAAATTATTTCAAATGGTAGGTTATCACTGAGCTTTAAAAGATTCTTGTTCCTTGCTTTACTCATTAGTTGCCTTTCTGTATCCATATACCTAAAAATTGTTTAGAAATAAACCCATGTTTTAATGAAACAGTAACCTTTCTAGATCTAGGAGCCCCATCTATTGGTTTCCCTGGTGGCTCAGTTATAAAGAATCTGCCTACCAATGCAGGAGACTCTGGAAATGTAGGTTTGATCCCTGGGTTGGGAAGATCCTCTGGAGGAGGAAATGGCAACCCACTCAGGTATTCTTGCCTAGAAAATCCCATGGACAGAGCAGTCTGGGGGCTACAGTCCATGTGGGGTGGCAGAGATACTTCTGAGCAACTGAGCTTGAGTTAGACATTCCCAGTCTCTAGCCAGTTCAGAGGATATTCTGATAAGGAAGCCCTGTTGTTAGGTGGTATATTTTTGGTAAGGTAAACAATTTCCCAGTTACTTACTTGATAAATACAGTGTGTGCTTTTTAAATTTTTTGTGATAGGTTTTTCTGAAGATGACTTCTGTAGGTGTTGATATTTAAATGATGGCTTGCAGTGACGCATATATTCTTGACTTTAATCATCATATTTATTCTTTCTGCAAGGTAGTACTTATAAATTCTGCACATTGAAATTCAGAGGTCAATATAGTAAAAGTTAAGTGAGTTGGTATAATTGAAAGTGTAATCCAAAGTTCATTTTCTAGTATTTGAAAAGCTTTTTAAAGTATGTTCTTTGAAATAAGTATTCTAAATCATCTATACTTCACAATGTTGCAGAGTCCTTTTAGAGTTGAGAGCTAAACTAGACTCAAGGGTGTGATCCAACTTAATATTAGAGTTTTTGATCCTTCTTCTAATTTGGAAGCTGTTACTATTTGCCAGTTGTGGGTTAATAGTACCTAACTGATCTTTTGCTTCTCTGATTTTAATAAATTCTAGTTGAGGTTTTGTGGAAGAAAAGGAAGTGGTAATTGACACTAACTTGATTTTTTTTTTTAAAGCATTGTGTTGATTCAGTATTGTTACATTCAACTAGACAATATTTGTATCCAGAGCTTTCTGAGTTCTACTTCAAGGACACTGATAGCATGGGTTCAGAGACTTAGCATTTTGGGAAAATGAAACACAAGACCAGGCTCAGATTAGGACTTTGTACACCACAGTTTATGCGAGCTCCTTTGTACCATTATCACTTAGATTTCATTCAGTTGCTTAGAGGAATGCATTTTGATGCATTTGTGCCAGTTGTGCTTTCTTCTTTGGGTAGGCAGTGATATGCTACACATTTTTTGTAGCTGTTCTGTCTGAAGAACTAAACCTTTCTCTGGGTTTCTTCTCAATTAATGTCCACTATTTCTGCTTTTTAATAAGTCATTTTTATTTAAAGAGTCTTGTGTATGTTTTTCCAAGTGCCTTTTTAGTTTGTGCCGTTTTTATTAAGTCTTACCAGCTTTCACTTAGAAAGCAAAGTGAAGTGAATTCGCTCAGTCGTGTCCAACTCTTTGCGACCCTATGGACTGTTGCCCCTCATACTCCTCTGTCCATGGGGATTCTCCAGGCGAGAATACTGGAGTGGGTTGCCATTTCCTTCTCCAAGGGATCTTCCCGACCCAGGGATCAAACCCAGTCTCCCACACTGCAGGCAGACTCTTTACCCTCTGAGCCACGAGGAAAGCCCAAAGAAAGCAAACATTTGTGTTCTTGTGTATATAGCCTTGGTATTTTTGAGGTAATCATTTTTACATTTGTGGAGTTGCCTATAATCAGAGATTTCACATGTGATATATTTGTGTTGTGGAGATCTATTGCAGCAGTGACGTTGGGTTAATTTAATAGTGAAAGGTGTTTGCAGTCAGTGGCAAAATCGTGAGTAAGATGTGAGAAGACATGAGCTCTAGGCTCCCCTGAGACCTCAGTAAACTTTCAGCATGGCAAGCCATTTAACCACTCTAGATCTCAGTTTTCTTTAACAAGTAAATGACCCTCACTAACAGTCTGCAATTTTTTGAACTTTCAAAGGCAATCAGAACTATAGCATCCTCTCCCAAAAATCCAGTCTCTTCAAATCTAAGAATTGTTTATAGTCAGTTGTAAGTCATGATAGAAATGGCTTTGGTTAATCAAAAAGGGTGAGGCATACTCTGTCGCTACAAATGACGCTGGGATGTGAGTCCTCTGAGCGGGAAGCGCTGGGATTTACAGAGTGTTATTCCCTCAGCTTGGAAGATGACGCAGAATGGAAGCAGCATAAACAGGAAGTTGTTTCATTTATTTGTTGTTTTTTTGACAAGTGACCCATATTTTATCAGTACTAATTGCTTCTTGACTGTTTATTCTAAAATTCTTATATTAGAAAGAAGATGAGTTTTAATTATGTTTTTGGCATGACAGGTATTACGAAATACTCAAAACTGTTTAGTGATGTAACTTAAAATCCCAAATCCTGATAAGAAGGTGACCTGTGGCATGGTATCTGGCAGTTTTTACCTTGCATAAAGAAAGGACCATCCTGAAAGTGAAAGCCACAGCTCTTTGCCTTCTGCCATGCCACACACAGGATGCGTACCATACACCTATTGAGGTCACTGACTATTGGAGCTAACATACACCCACACATACACACATATTTTATTAAATGGAAAACTTAAAAATGGGAACTTTTAAATGTGTATTTCATTAAAGTAATGCGTGCCCATTTTAAGGGCTTCCCAGGTGTTGCTAGTGGTAAAGAACCTGCCTGCTAATGCAGGAGACATGGGTTTGATCCGTGAACTGGGAAGATTCCCCTGGAGGAGGGCATAGCAACCCAGTCCAGTATTCCTGCCTGGAAAATCCCATGAACAGAGAAGCCTGGCGGGCTACAGTCCATGGGATCGCCAAGAGTCAGACCCAACTGAAGTGACTGAGCACACACACACATATGCCTTTAAAGAGAATTAGAAAAATTTTGCAAAAAGAAAAAATAGAAAAAGAAACCGAAACTCAAAATACAACACAAAAACAGAACTTTGTTTTATTTGTACATAGTTGTGATTTATACTATTATGTAATCATAAGCATTTTTAAGTTTTAAAATTAAAAATCTGTACTTTTTAAAAAATGCAAATAATTTTGATGAATAAGAAAGGTGAAAATGTGAGTCCATTCTATAATTCCACTCTGTAAAAATAGTTTTATATATTTTTTCTAGCCATTTCCATAAAATGAAATTGAAATATATTTTTAAAAGAAATGACATATTAGTCTGTAATTTTTTTATATGAAAAAATATTGTGGACATAGTTTTATATCAATACAGATACATGCTGTCTGATAGAAATACTAAAGTACAAGGTATCTTTAATTTTCTAGTAGTCATATTTAAAAAATAGAAAGAAACAGGTAAGGAGAAGGGGGCGACAGAGGATGAGATGGTTGGATGGCATCACCAGGTCAATGGACATGAGCTTGAGCAACTCGAGGGGACAGTGAAGGACAGGGAAGCTTGGTGTGCTGCAGTCCATGGGATCTCAAAGCATCAGACACAACTTATCGAATGAACAACAACAAACAATGTATTTTATTTAACTTAGTATACCCAGAAGACTGTTACTTAAACATGTAATCAATATAAAAATAATTGAGATTTCTATAAAGTCTTTAAAAATTTTTTCTAAAACTTACAGATTTGGCATATATTTTATATTTAAGCATATCTCAATTCAGAAATGAACTTTTCATTGGAGATACTTCATCTGTATTTAGAGTTTATAAAACTTACAGTTGAAAAGGTTGATTTACTAAAAAATACCCAGATTTTCCAGACATATGTGAAAGTTTTCCAGTAACTAAATTTAAATCTAAATTAATTAAAATTAAGTAAAGTCAAAAAGTTTAATTCCTCCATTACACTAACTCCATTTGACGTGCTCAGTACATAACCGTAATTGGCTGACAGCTATTGGACAGAGTAGATTTAGAGTATTCTTTTTCATAGTTGCCTTCTTTATTAATCCCCCACAATGACCCTATAAAATTCTATCTTATATAGAAGAAATAAACACTTTGAAAAATTGAAACTTGCATAATTTTTAAAAATCATAACTAAGAACCCAGGTCTTTGACATGAGAGACTATGCTCTCTTCTCTAACCTGCTTCTATTATGATTTGTTTGATCATTGACCCTGTTGGTATGTATTTATGTGGTTAATTTTTGGCAATTACAAACCATACTTCAGGAACTATCTTTGTGAGCATATCCTGGATATTTAAGTACTAAAAAGTTCAATGAAAATGCCCATTTTAAACACAGATAAATATTTTCAAAATATCAAGACCTTATCAGTGATATTTCTTAGTAGCAGAGTACATATTCTGTATTTCCTAATACCTTAGACAACTCTAGGCAGTGTTCATCTTTTTCATCTTCCCCACTCTAACCGGGAAAAATATTTCTTAGCTTGTACTCCTTTGCTTATGAATGCATTAGTGCATCTTTTAATCTTTGATCATTTGTATTTTTCTGTGAATTGTTCACTGAACTCTCTTCCTAAGTGTAATATCTGATACAAGATATTACATGTATGGATTTACTATCAGTTACTGTTCTCTTGCTTGGATATGGTGCTTATTTATTCTTTCATATTATGAATAAAACTGCAGTATACATCTTTGTATATCTGTTTTGGTATATATTTTATATTATTTCCTTAAAGTAAATCCTATTAGGATTACTAGGTCAAGACAGTGGATATTTGTTACAAATATCAAAGCTGTTAATACAAAATTCCAAATTTATTTTCAGAGGGTTGGTTTACCTTCCAGCCATTGTTCAGGAGCAGGAGGTTTTTTGTTGTTGTTGTTTTTTTAACATTTTTATTAAATTATACAACAGTATAGAAAAGCATATACACCCCAAGTATACAGCTTGAAGAATTTATAAACTGATCACCACCGTGGAAGCAACACCTGGAAGCATTCCAGAACAGTCCCAGCAAACCCCAGAAACCCTCTTATGTACCTTTACAGTCATTACTCCCCCCTCACTGTCTTACCTTCTAACAGCAAAAATACATTCTACAGATAATGTTCAGAGTTCAACTAGAACTTCAAAGTCACTTTTCCCATACAGGTGTGCTGCTATTTTTATTATGCAAGTAGTACTCAATAGGTGGAGAAGGAAATGGCAGCCCATTCCAGTACTCTTGCCTGGAAACTCCTATGGACGGAGGAGCCTGGTGGGCTACAGTCCATGGGGTCGCAAAGAGTTGGACACGACAGAGTGACTTCACTTTCACTTGCATGCACTGGAGAAGGAAATGGCGACCCTTTCCAGTGTTCTTGCCTGGAGAATCCCAGGGACGGGGGAGCCTGGCGGGCTGCCGTCTGTGGGGTCGTGCAGAGTCGGACGTGGCTGAAGCGACTCAGCAGCAGCAGCAGCAGCAGGATTCAGTGGGGGCTTCTGTGGTGGCTCAGATGGTCAAGAATCTGCCTGCAGTGCGTCCCCTGGAGGAGGGCACGGCAGCCCGCAGTCTTCTTTCCTAGGCAGAGGAGCCTGGCAGGCCATAGTCCGTGGGCCACAAAGAGTCGGACATGACTGGGTGACTGACACACGCACAGTGTTCAGTATTTTTAGAAGGCTCTTATAAAGTATATCGAATGTGTTTGTTTAAATTATTTTTATTTATACATTGCGCTGGGTTTGAGTTTCGTCACGCAGGATCTTTCGCTGGGGCACATGGACACTAGTTGCACTGTGCAGGCTCAGTAGCTCCAGGGTTTATGGGATCCCAGTTCCTGGTCCAGAGACTGAACCCACATCCCCAGCATTGCAGGATGGATTCTTAACCACTGGACCACCATGGAAGGCCCCGTAAATGCACTTTTCAAAAGCATATATCATCCCAGCCAGTGAACAATTCAGATATTTGCTTTGTGTCACTATTGACATATACTAAATAAGTGAGATTATTATGCTATTCATATTGTTTGATCGAAAATCAGAATGTCATCTTAAACTCTTAATTGATAATTAGAAAAGGAATCCTGCAGTCCAGGAGGTAATAGCATAATAGTCTCCTTTGAAGGCTTCTAGAATTTGTGTGGATCAGAGTTTGTCAAACAGCTTCTCATCTGGGAGACTTGTTAGTTAAATTGTTCCTTAAAGTCTCATTTAGTAAGTAGGTCTGAGTGGGAGCCAGGGACCTGCATTTTTAACAATACCTCAGATGACTGACTCAGGTAGATCTCAAATATTCAAAAAATATGGCTTATCTCCCTGTTTCCCTTGTTTTAAGTATACCAGTATCTGGATCTTTATGGTGAATACTTTTTTTACTAAGTAAATTTTTCTCAGTTTCTATGGGTGGCATTCTTTTTTTTTTTCTTTTGAGGTTTGTGAACAGATGAACTAGGTAAAGAATCCTAGAATTTATGGGTTAACTGGACTCCAGGTGGAGCACCCTCAGATGCCCTACCTACTTGCCCAGTATCACATCCAAGAGCTCCCATGCCCTCTTGTTGAAGGCTTCCACCGTCAGGGCACTTCTTTCCCATCCTGGGCAGCACTTTAATGTGTGAGAATAAGATGAACTCTTTACTTCTGCTCTGCTTAATTACCAACATTTTTCCCACTGAATAACCAGAGTGATCTTTTAAAACATGACCCAGAATACTCCACAGCCCTTCTCAAAATACTTTAGGGCTTCCCGTTGCCTTATAACAGGGGCCTGTACTCTGTGGCCCATGAGATCTAACTTTTTTTTTTTTAGAGGGTGGTTTAAAAAAAAAACAAAACATGACAAAGGCTGAATATTTAATATGTACTTCTTTACAGGGCTAGTGTGCTGGGCACTGCCTCTGTATAAATTCTAAGCAGCTTGATGGCCCTTGCTTGTTTTGGTTAGCCTTGTCTTACAACCTCCCTCCAACTCCCAGGATGCAGTGGCTCCTTCAGCAACGGGTCTTCCTTCTCAAAAGCTAAACCATTGAGCCTTTTTGCCTGCAGGCTTTTGAGCTTGCTGTTTCCTTTGCCTGGAATTCTCTGGCCTTGGACTTGTTCTGTGGTGGGCTCATTCTAGGCCCTCAGGTCTCAATCAGGTATCATCCCTGTCTTTCCAGAGTGGCTCTCACCTGCTGGATTTCAGCCCCATTGACTCCCGTCCTTCCCAGAATGGTCGTCACCTTGTTGAAGTGTGTGTGTGATTGCTGTTTGCTTCTTCTTGTCCACCGTGATGTGAGCTCTGTCAGGCAGAGGCCCTGTGCATATCATTGCTGTGTGTGGACACACATCAGTCAGTATCTGCTGAGGGAAGGACCAGGCAGACTGAAGGTTGTAGTGAGGTGGTTATCATTCAGACTTCCATAGTAGGAATTGGGAAAGCTGTGGTATACTCATCTACCATCCCCTTATCATGCATCCTGCAAGAAGTCTGTAAAAGCCTAATACATCAACATTTGCACCTCTAAAATAGCCTATGAGTCAACAGAAAAGAATATTTTGGCATCTTTTTTTTTAAAAGAAAAATTATACTAATCATGTACTTAGCTGAAATCATTTTAAGGTATATTGGGTTGTAGTTAAATAGGCAGCTAATGGCTCATATTTAATAAAGTGTTTTGCATTAGATTAAGTAATGGGTACATTGCTTTTTCTTTCCATAAAAAATTTTTTTGATACCTCTCTGGCAAATACTGGGTGTTAGAAATAGTCTATATGTCCCATGAATCCAATTCATAAATAAAGTGACCTGTTCACCACTATTTGAAAGTATTCTCTGATGTTTAGACCCGGGTTCAATCCCTGGGAGAAAGATCTCCTGGAGAAGGCAATGGCAACCCACTCCAGTACTCTTGCCTGGAAAACCCCATGGACAGAGGAGCCTGGTAGGCTACAGTCCATGTGGTCGCAAAGAGTCGGACACGACTGAGCGACTTCACTTTCACTTTTATACTTTAAAGGATGTGTTTTTTTTCCCCCCACATGTATTATACTTGAAGATGGGCTTCCCGTGTAGCTCAGCTGGTAAAGAATCCGCCTGCTGTGCAGGAGACCCCAGTTCAATTCCTGGGTTGGGAAGTTCCCCTGGAGAGGAGATAGGCTATCCACTCCAGTATTCTTGGGCTTCCCTGAAGGTAAGGTAAAGATTCTGCCTGCAGTGCGGGAAACCTGGGTTCGATCCCTGGGTTGGGAAGATCCCCTCATGGAGGGCATGGCAACCCATGGACAGAGGAGCCTGGTGGGCTACAGTGCATGGGGTCGCAAAAAGTCTTAACATGACTGAGCAACCAAGCACAGCACATACTTGAAGATACAAGCGTTGAGCACAAGCTTTTGTCTGTATACCTAGGATTGCCACTTACTGGCTGTGTGACCTTGAGGAAGTATCATAATCTTTTTAGATCTTAGTCTCGTCAACTGTAAAACGAAGGTAATACCAGTTTCATAGGGTCATTGTGGACAGATGTGTACATCTTTAACAGTGTTTGGGCCTATGGTAGGTACCCAGGAAATACTTTCTCTTTCCTCATATTTGAATTTAGTATCCCGGTTTCCTCTTTTTAAGGGGATATCCTTCTCTTTATTTCCTTTATTCTTGAGACTGAAAATAGCAGGCAAAAATTACTGCCTTTTTGTTTAAAAAGTTAATAATGAATTATGTATATTTTGCTAGTGTGCAGAATATTAACCACAATTTTGTTTAAGGATGTTCATTTGTTTTCTGGTCGTCTGCTTACCTCATTAGGACATGAAGGATCAGATGTCAACTTCATCTGTGCAGGCGTTAGCTGAAAGGAAAAATAGACAGGTGAGTAAACGTTGGAATATACAGTATCACAGAAAGTACACAGATACTTGGACTTGAAAAATTCTGACATCTGTGTATCATGTATGCAAGCAGAAGACCTTGTGTGCTGAGCCCGTAGTGATGTGGGCAGCAGCTTCCCCCCTCCCCTGCCACACCCTCTGGTCCTCTCCCCTGGGCTCCCACTGCACCCTCTGTGAACCTCATAGCCCTTGCCACAAGCCATTTATTCTGCACCTGTTGAGCACATTCTGTGTGCCAGGTGTTCTGTTAAGAGCTGTAATTGCTTGCTTGCTTGTCATTTTCTCTGCTGGACCTCAAGCTTCTTTGTGAGTGGGGAGGGATTGTGTCATGGTTTTTCTCTTCTTTTTTTTAGATTTCTAGCTGCCCACACGTAGAACACTCAAGACATATAATGATTGAAACTTTACATAAAGTGTTTGCGGAAACTTAAATATGTGTTAAGTTAAATCTTTCACTGTTTTATGTATTCTTTTTTTGATGTGAGGTCCAGTGTTTTTAATTTATAACAAATAAATTATGAAACCTAATAAATTTCAGAAACCAAAGCCCAGATACTGATGTATCAAAAATAAAAGCTACAAGAGACCCAGTCTTTGCATTTAGTAGGCTGATAATTGTAAGAACAGTTCACCATTTTTAATTAACTAGGAATCAGTAGTTTATGATATACTCTTCACTTTACACCTGTAGGTGTTTCTTGACCCACTTAATTTTGAAAACAAGTATTCTGAAAGCTTGAAAAGGGAAGAGGACTCTCTAAATATCTCCTAACTTAATTTTCCTGTTCTCTTTCTCCACATGCCATTTTCCAAGTCACTGTTGTTGTTTTTCTCCCCCATCCACCCTCCTTGCTTGTAATAGTGCAAACAGGAAGAGACGTTAGCTAGCCATCCCATCTGCCACTGACTCTTGGAAAAGCTAGTGAACTAACATAAATAAGATGTGCATTTATGCACGGCTTCTCTGACGGTGCCTGGGAATTTTGTTTTAGGCAATGAGTAAAATGTCTTTGGGCTTCCCCGGTGGCTCAGTGGTAAAGAACTCACCTGCCAGTGCAGGAGACTCGGGTTCAATCCCTGGGACGAGAAGATCCCCTAAAATCGGAAATGGTAACCCACTCCAGGATTCTTGCCTGGGAAATTCCATGGACAGAGGAGCCTAGTGAGCTAGTTCATGGGGTCGCAAGAGTTGGACACAACAACTAAAGTACAACAAAATGTCTTCGAGTCACAGGCATTCAAGGAATAGGAGGTGGGCAGAGTTCTGTAGGCACCCACGTGTGCAGAGTCCACCTCACTGCTGCTTCCAGCACCAGGTGCTGGGTTGATCCTCACAAAGCCAGGGCCTCCTGCTCTGGCACCTGCACTCAGGCTGGTCCCCGGTGCTCTGGGCCCTCTCTCCATCTTTTTTCTTACTAACCAACTCCTGGAGGTCAGACCAAGGGAATCTAAACAGCTTCACGGGTGACTCTTAACAGCATGACATATGTCTACCCAAGTGTAGATCATGGATAAGCTAGGGAAAAAATAGCTGAGACTGTGGCCCCAGGAAATCTAGTTCTCTATCCATAGCCTAATGATGCACTGTAGCCTTTTTCTGACTTTGAAAAAGTTATCACTAGGTCCCAGTGTCCACCATAGAGTCATTAGAGTCTTTGTATCAAAACGAGCAGGATCGTTTCAATCTTAACAGCCCCACGACCAGATGGGGGCAGAAGCATCACCCCAACACCTTATGTCTGCTCTACACCAGAGGCAGTCACCATCCAGACTCTTGACTAAGGCTCTGGGCTGTGGAAGTTCTCAAGTATCTGATCCTCTTCTCATATCTGCCTCAGAACTCAACATACATCCTGAACTTCCCTGAATGTAGCGTCTGAAATGTGGTCATTTGCCTGAATTCATGTCTGAAAGTCAGGCAAGGATAGTGTGGGTGTTGAGGGGCTTTGCAGACAGAGAACCAAGGAATCAGTTAGACTTTTAACAGTTCCAGAGCTAAAGAGTACCTGGTAAGAAGTTTTAGCAGCTCTACAAGATAGAAGAATCCCAGTCACTAGCTTGGTCCAGTTCTTTGGTTAAAAAGGCTTGTGGGGATCCCAGGTAGGGTCAGCTCACATTCCTGGTTGGCCTCTTCAATGAAGGAGGACATTCCCAAACTTATCCTTTTCTGACTACAGAATTCCTCAAGTTCATACTAGGAAACCCGACCCTAGCATCTGGGGGCCCAGGTGGAGAACTGACATCAGCGCCAACCCTTGCTTGGGTTATCAGGGTCAGGCCCCCACTGTGGCCATGCTGCCTGCTGAAGCAACCCCTATTCCATCTGGGAAACCTCTAGCCTTTTAGTTCTGCTGAAGGGCATTGGGATTTATCTGTGGGTCACACTGAGCAGACAGTGGTGGTTCTTGTGCCTGCAGTGTATGAGGGCCTATGGCTTAGTTTTTTTTGTCACTTAGGGAACTATCTCCTCCCTCCTCCGAATACCAAAAATTTCCTTGGTCATACTTAAATAGAAAGGACTCTAGCCTCCACTTCTGTGCTCAGCTTTTTGTTCATTTCAACAAAGGCACTTGAAGAAAAATTGAGTCCTTGTTTTTTCATTGCAGAGTTAGATTAACCTTCAACAGGTCTCCAGTAAAATTCCAAGGGTGCTAGGAAGAGCTGGTCCTATGAGAACAAGTGCTTTACAGTCCACAAAGCAGTACACAGAGGGGCTTTAAGATTGCTTTAAAGTTGACTCTCACTTGCATTTTTAATGGGACAGAGCTCGTTTGTGAGTCCATAGAAAGTGCCCTTCATGGCATTCTTTTATTTGTACCCCGCAGGCACCAACCTGCCCCAATCCATAAAAAGCTGACCCCTGGAAAGACAGCTTATGAGCAGTGGGAGAACTCTTCATATCATGGTGATGGGGCCCTTGTTTAGTGAGAGTAACGGTTTGTCCCTCCTGCCTTGCTGCCCCCGGCCCTGCTCTCTCAGGCACTGCTAGGAGACAGTGGCGGACAGAACTGGGGCACTGGAACGACGGATAAATACGGGCGCCTCGACCGGGAGCTTCAGTTGGCCAACTCCCATTTCATCGAGGAGCAGCAGGCACAGCAGCAGGTACCTGAGTGGAGGACAGGGAGGTGGGAGGCCACGCACCACCCCCCCTCCTCTGTCAGCCAGGGCGCTGTTGCTAATGGCAGGCAGCGTGGACCAGAGCTAGCCCCACAGCTGCCGGAGTCGACCTGTGTGATGGTTGCATACAGAGGGGGTTTTTAAGACGCCCTTCAGAGCATGACAGTTTCAAGAGAACCAAGCTTGATTAGACCTCTTAGGATAAGCAGACCAGACACCCGCAACTGACAGAGGAGGCCATTGATTTAAAAACACAGCAGCCTCTTCCCCAGCCTCCACTTCTGTGCTCAGCTTTTTGGTCATTTCAACAAAGGCACTTTGAGAAAAATTGAGTCCTTGTTTTTTATTGCAAATTGTTGTTGGTTCCATTAGATGTAAAAATCATTGCTTTGGTGGAGGTTAAGGGGTAGAAGGAAAGTGAGGTTGATTACATTTGTGTGGTTGCTTTTGATTTGTATTAATTAAAGGAAGCTAATAGTAAAGTGTCTGGACATTTGAGCATTATCACCCCATATAACTATTGGTTCTTAAATACTGTGTTTTATATATCCATGTTGGTCTTTTTCCATTAGCATGTCAGCTTAACCATTTGTCTACTTAAATTGCTATTAACCCAAGCAAACTTTTTTTTTTCCCCAATAAAAAGTGAGGCTACTACAGCATAATTAAAAGTAACTGGTGCTCAGCAGTTGCCTGCAAGGTAGCTTACTGCTGCAGAGCCTCCTCGCATGTGTCCTTGAGGAGGGAGCAAAGGCCTCTACGCGTGTCGTTTCCCCATGTCCAGAGAGCTGCCAGACTTTCTCTTACAGTTAAGTTGTGGTTGGCTGTTGCCAATTGAGACCCTGACCCTGGCAGCGGGCTTCCTCTTCCCAAGCATCCCGACATGTCCGTGGTCACTGCACAGGTGCTTTTGGCCATTGTCTGTCCCTTGCTGGACTTCAGCCAACCAGGGTAAATCTCTCTGGGTGGTTTCAAGCCCCGCTGACTGTTTCACAAGTTGGATCAGCAGGGGATATCAGCAGCTTGACAGCCCAGCCTTTTGAGCAGCGTGTTCTCTGAGGCGGACGGTCTGGTCCTTTGATTTCTGGGCTTTGCTTCTGAATGTGAATTGTCCCGAGTTGGCAAAGAAGCTAGCAGCTGCTCGAGTGCTGGGCTTGGAACCAGGTAAGATGGATTTTAATTGCTTATTTCCCATTTCTCTGGCACCAGCTGATCGTGGAACAGCAGGATGAGCAGTTGGAGCTGGTCTCTGGCAGCATCGGAGTGCTGAAGAACATGTCCCAGCGCATCGGAGGAGAGCTGGAGGAGCAGGCCGTGTGAGTACTGGGATGCCCCTCTCGCCACAGAGAGGTGAAGGGAAGAGCTGTCTTAGGAGGCCCCTAAAGAGCCTGCCGGTTACATGGCCATTACAGCCAAAAGCTGTTTTGTTTCTAGCTGCATCTTTACTCTGTTTACAGACTAGCCTCTCCAAAAAAGGCATATCTGTCAGATACAATTTTCAAAAAGGTTTAGGCAAAGTTATTAATATTTTTAAACATCTGCAAAAGAGGTACAGATTCTTCTAAACAGCTGACTTCAAGTGTTGTTATGAATAGGAATGTTAAACTGTTAGGGCTGTGTAAGCTCCATGGAGATTTTTGCCCCAAAGAGGATAGGACATGGGCTAACTTAACTTCATCATTGCATGCCTTTCCTGCTGTATTAATTGGAACTTTTTGCTCTGTGTCTTAAATTTTGATTTTATGGGGGGAAAAGTGCAAGTTTAATTCCAACTAATAAAAAAATCTTCTCTACAATGAAAAAGTCTTCTCCTAGAAAAAAGCACAAGAAAACATATCTGGATTTGTTTTTCCTTAAGAACAGTCTCCGTTTGCACTCCTGAAGTATGACACCAAAAACAGAATTCTTAAAATGCTACCTTTACCATTTCACAAAATATTTTTTCTGGGGGAAAAAAAATCCAGTAGGATATTTCAGAAACTCTCCTACTTTGATTTTGTGTTCAACCTTATGGATTCATTTATTACAAATTCAAAATGGGCATCTTGTTCTCCTGGGAGGCCCCAGGGTATCCACAGAGCAGCCAGGAGAATAGACAGGGTCTCTGCCATCAAGAGTTTACTGTTCACTGGGTGGAACAGATATTATAGAAATGATGCAAGTCGTGAAGTGGTAACAGAAGTGGAGGGCTGCCGGTGGAGGGAGTGCGTGGTGCCTTGAGGGCCCTAACAGCCTGAACTGGAGACCTGACTCAGTCTAAAATCCCTGAGAAGAGAAGAGAAGTTTAACTGGGACTGCAGAACCAGTAGAAAGTACTAGGTGGGGTGGGAGGAAGGGGTGAGGGGAGGATCTACTGGAAGGAAGAGTCCTTGTGACGATTTAGAGGTGATTCGTGCACAACAGAGAGGTTTAGTGTGTCTAGAGCATGGGGGTTGAGAGGGAGGTTACAGAAGTCAAGTCAGGGAGGCAGAGAACAGATCAGGGAAGGCCCCAGAAGCCGCGGTAAGGAGTTAGGACCAGTCATTCAAAGGGCAGTGGGAAACACAACCCCAAACACCAGCGAGGGTTGTGTTAGTAGGTTTATGTTTGGGGAGGCCCGTCTATCTGTGGTTTCGATGGTGAACCACAGTGGAAAAGACTGGAAGCAGGGAGACCACGTGGGAAGGTGGCAGAACAGGAACCTAGGCATGCAGTTTAATTTGTCTAAAGTGCATTCTTACCCTAAAATTCACTATGCGGATGGGAAAGAACTAGTTATTTGAGCAGTTACATTGGTTGGGTAGATGATAGAGCCTGGCAGACTTACAGATAAAGATGGCGAACTGAACACAACCTCTTTATCAACGTTCCTACTTGAAGTCCACTAGAGCAGTAACAGAGGGTTTTTGTTTTTGTTTTTGTTTTTAATTTAATGGCATAAAATCTGTGGGGACATAGAGCTTGGAATAAGAAACAGTGACCTTAACATTTTAGCTCTTGGAAAGCAGAAAGATGAATGGTGCCTGCTTCAACAGATCTGAGAAAACGGGGTTCTCAGTGAGCAGAAGGGAGAGCCCAGAGCTGTGTGATGCAGGCCCTGGACCCCCAGCTGGGAAGAGCTGTCACTCGTGACAGTGGGAACTCTGGATGTCGACCGTATCCAACCAGGACACAGTTCTGTTGGAAGGAAAGAAGGGGAAGAGAAGTGGAAAGGATGCAGAGGTGGGGAATGGAGTGGGAGGGGGCTAAGCCCTAGGCTTTCACTGTGCAGAGTCAGTGGGATCTGGACACTGAGCTGCCAGTGTGTAGCTTAGAAAACTGGAGAATGCACCCAGAGAATAGTGGAGGGGCTGAAAGCGGTGGCCCTCGGGAATGGGGGACAACTGTGGTTTTTTATAGAAGGACTATTTAGCTCTACAAACTGTGTATGTGTATAACTAATAAAAATAGATAAATGAAAAGGAAAAAGTAGGTCTTGCACTTAGACCTGTGCTGTTCAGTACAATAGCCACCAGCCCCCACATGGCCATTGAGTACATGAAATGTGGCCAGTCTAAACTAAGAAATGCACACCAAGTTCTGGAGGCCTTAGTGTGAAAAAAATGTAAAATTGCATGTTGAAATGAACGGTTTTTTTAGGTATATTGAGCTAAATAAAACAGGTTATTAAAATTAATTTCCACTCCCTTTTTTTAAATGCGGCTACTGAAAAATATTAAGTGGCACATGTGACTCACACTGTATTTCTCTTGGACAGCACAGAGGTAGGCTTGAAACCTGGTTTTTTAATTTTGTTGTCCTTTAGTCACTAAGTCATCTCGAACTCTCTTTTGACCCCGAGAGCTATAGCCCACCAGGCTCCTCTGTCCATGGCATTTCCCAGGCAAGAATCCTGGAGGGGATTGCCATTCCTTACCCAGGGGGATCTTCCTGGATCAGGGATCGAACCTGCATCTCCTACATTGGTAGGCAGGTTCTTTACCACTGAGCCACCTAAGAAACTTGGTTAGTGGGTGGTTAAGGAGTGTCCTTGGACTGGAGGTTGGCTGACTTACCAGTTTTTGTCTTGAGTAAGAAAGGTCTTACACAGCACACAGAGGTAACTCTTGTTTATCAGCATTTGCCCTATGTGGATATGTCTGCCAGCTGCAGTGCCAAGATGCTACCAGAATCTAAAATGAGCTAAAAAATGTTTTAATTTGAAAATTCAGGTAAGGGACAAAGGCTTGTTTGTTTAGTTGCCAGCATGGAGGTTATTTAATGATTGACTTAATGAGGAGTTGGTTGCCTGAATCCTACAGGGCTCTCAGGTGCCTCATGGGCCCAGACCAAAACCAGGAGTGCTCGCTGCCCTTGGTGCTGCCAGAGGAATGAATAAAGCCTTGTTAATAAGCCCTCTGGTTACTAATTAGTATGTCATATTCTAGCCTCAGGATAATCATATATTAATCCAAAGTTGAATAGTCTGGAATGCTTAGTAATTTATGAAATAAACACTGTTGGTATGAGTATTGTGGTGTTTTCTTTCCTAGCCACACCTTGGGCAACAAGCATTGTGAGCCTCAGGAAGCTGGTTCTCTCTGTGTGCAGACGAGGCGCACGGAACTCAGTCCTGAGGCTGCCCAGCTTTATGGTAAAGCACAGGATGACTTAAAGCAGAAGATGATTTGATCAAAATGCATTTCTTAACTCACACAAAGTAAAGTGCTTTGTGTGGGGCTTCCCTGGTGGCTCAGGCAGTAAAGAATCTGCCTGCAGTGCAGGAGACCAGGGTTTGGTCCCTGAGTTTGAAGGTCCCCTGGAGAAGGGAATGGCCACCCACTCCAGTATTCTTGCCTGGAGAACTCCATGGACAGGGGAGCCACAGTCCACGGGGTCCCAAATAGTCAGACCGGCCTGAGCAACAAACACTTTCACTTTTATGGGAACCCTGTTGATAGGATCGCCTGCTTTTACTGATAAGGAAACAGGGTCCCTTGTCCAAAGTAGCAAGTGGCAAAGCCTGATTGTCTGATTCACACAGCCTTCTTTCTGCTACACTGCACTGCCGCTGAGTTTGTATTATTGTGTTGTGTTCAGGTCCCCATTGACCTTGGCTGCAGTTCTGCAATCTAGAAAGCTCTAAAAAATTTCACAGCAAGCTCATGTTACAGAGGAACCTGACCTGAACTGACTGCAGCCATGACTCCTCATAGTTTTCTGTGCAAAAATATTAAATTGGGTGTTTGATGACAACCCCAGACTCTGCTGGGGATATTGGCTAATACACAGTGTATGTAACTTAACTACTTTTTCAGATTTCCAAAATTCCGAAATCAAAAACAGGTCTTGTCCCAAGAATTAAAGATTGGGGGGTTTGAATCCCAGTGTTGTCTGTTTGGTGATTGCTAAGACGGAGGCCCGGATCCCAGTGATCTAACTCCACGGCCGCTGTGTCTGGAGCTGTGCCGAGCACCCTCCTCCTGTGTGCTTGTCTTCTAGTATGCTGGATGATTTCTCTCACGAGTTGGAGAGCACTCAGTCTCGGCTGGACAATGTGATGAAGAAACTTGCAAAAGTATCGCATATGACCAGTGGTATGTATGTGCTTTTAAGCTCCAGAATTCTTATTTAATTCTAGAGACACAGTCTAGGGGGTGTCTCACGGGTACGCTTGTTCAGATCCCTTTCCTCTGGCACATTTTTGTCAGACTTCGGGGTCAGGAGATGGAAGGCTAGCACACGCAGGCCTGGTCTCCGGCTCGCGGCCTTTGCCTGGGAAGAGCCTTCGTGGTCCCCGCCATGCGAGGCTGGCGCTGACGTTTCTTCTGGTGGAGTAACTTTCTTTGCACTTACAAAATCCTTCATTTTCCTTTTTTCCTATTTCCTTGCCAAAAGAGGGAATTGATTTTAATTAAGTTACTAATTACTGTTTCTCCTGGACTGACTTTTCATTGGAAGAAAAACCTCTACATTTCAGAAGATGGCCTTGCAGATCTCATTTAAACTGTTTTTATTTGAATCTGTAGTAAACTATTCCAGCAAATTTGTACCAGGCAGGGGATGAAGAAGTTAACTTTTTTCAAATTAGTTACTGTGTAGGAAGATGTGTTCCAGTGACTATTTTTTGTTACTATAACTTATCTTCTCTAAGAGAAATAACATTTTTTAAATCAGAGAAAATAGAGTATCTTTTTTTTTCTCTATTTGGTGGGAGTCTCTGGGTGAAGGGGGGAACCGAGACATCCTTCAAGGTCACCTACGTGCTCTTGAACCAGAGCACCCCCTCCCCCGTCAGAACACCCCTGTGTCTTGACAGCTTCCTTCAGTTGATTTCCTCTTACTGCATCTGTATGACAGTCTTAGCAGCCCACTGTTGGCTTTTGAGGCAAAATTTAAATACAAGTGTATATTTGCTTTTCAGCTGTTTAACTCATAGTCAAGTTACATGAGACTTCTCTTGGGCTCTGTTTCTTTCATATATTAAAAAAATAGGATGATGCCTACCTCTCAAGGTCATCGTAAGAATGAAATGAAATAATAATTAGTATACAAATGTTGAACAGTGTCTCTCATGTATTAGTACACAGTAAGTGTTTGAAAAAAAAGAAGGGGTAAGACAGGCAGAAGATGGCCCTGGGGGACCGAGGACCTATTACATTTAAGACGAAGGGAAGCTCCTAGCCCAGCTGGTTTCCTTCTCTCTAGGGGCAAATATCTTCATGCTTCTATAGCAGGCTCTTCATTGCCTGCGGCAGGCCCCAGCTCACTTCCTCTTCCACACATCTAGGGGGAGTTTTGTGAAGTCCTCATCCCACTTACTTCTGTTCTCTCTTCTTCCACTCCTCCCCTCCTCTTTTTTTCTCCTTTAAAAAAAAAAATCTTTTTACTGAAGTATTATATAACCAGTTTCAACCAGATCTTTCACTATGTATATATTAGTCGCAAATTCAAGTAGCTACTTCAGCACCGGTTTTGTTTGGAGAAGAACAGTGTAACAAAGATGCACTGTGTCCTTGTCTCCAGCATTCTGGGAATGAATAATTTAGAAAAGTACTTGCATTGTGATAAGCCGCTCCGTGTGTATAAATAGCACTGAAGTCTACTCATGCAGTCTTCTACTTTTCTTTCCCCGCAAAAAAGTTTGGGGAGCAAGTAAGAACTTAAGGTATGTCCTGTCATACCTCAAGAAAGAGAGCCAAGAAACAGAGCATTTACCCTGAAAGGCCCCTGGGTTAGGACAGCCTGCCTGTGGTGTTCATTGTAATCTCTGCTCCCCAAAGAGAGTGAGCTTGGGGCCTCCTACTTGGCTGTGCTGGCTTCAATTTGATGACGGGGCAGTTTGGTGTTTGTCTCTGTTCTTCGTAACTTTTGGGAAAGTTCGCTGCTTTTCAATCAAGCCTACATATAAAGAAAGAGTAGCAGGACACACTGGAGTTTGATTAGGCAGTTAGTGAATGCCCACATTCACAGGCCTGCAGAGGCGAGACCCCTGCCCTCCCTGCTTTCCTGGGCAGAAATCTGCCAGGGTGCCATACTTACTTTTTTGAATGACGCAAGAGAGACACTGGTCTTGTCATTCTCCTACCCAAAAGAAGTATGTTCTTTTGAGTGGATACCCAGGTTTTCTCCCCCTCACTTTCCAAAATTCTGTTGTTCATCTTTTCTCTTTAGGGGAGGAGACTGTTGAGAGCAGGAAAATCCTGTAGAGTCCCCTCTAGGGTTCTGCACACCCCCACCCCCCGCCCCCCTCCACCTGACTTTCTGAGACAGGTCTGAGCTTGCAAAAAGGCTGGTTAGGACCATTCACTTGGGGTCACAAAAACCCTTGTGGTTAGTACCCACCCCTTCTGGGGAGAAGTCTGCTAGGGTGACAGCACCCTGGGGTCACCCAGTTCACGCTTCATAGAAGCAACTTACCACTTCAAAGCAAAGTGGATTTAAAAGCACATTCCTGGATTGTGCTGGCTGTGTTCTCTTTGATGAAACCCCTGTTTAGTGCAATTGCAGAAGAGAAAGTGATTGGAGGTGGGAGGAGGGCTAGGTAGAGGCTGATGAGAAGGAAGCTGGTTCAGTATTGGAAGTTCAGGTCTAAGATGGCAGGATGCCTTGGGCAAAGCAGCTAGGAGGTATTTACCTTGACTGTATCATCCTAGAAGAATATAGATTAGTTATTTTAATGAGAGGATTTTTAAATTATTGTAAACATTTTTAAGGAGATGAAAGAAGGCTAGATACTTGAGTTTTCTGGACCATTGAAGTGATAGCTAAACAGGTGAATACTGTTATCTGGAATAGGCAGATTCTACCTCCCCACGCCCGTTGGACTAGCCCTGTCTCAGAAAAGAACAGGTGGACCTGAGGTCTTGACCCTTATCCCACTTGCTAAGTGAGTTTCTAGCATGTGTGATGGAGAGCACAGTGAGCCACTGGAAAGATTCTTGCTTTACTTACTGTTAGTTGGTAGCAGTTCTGTTGACTGGTTCTAAGACTTTGCTGTCTGCAACATTTATTTTACTTATGTGTTTTATGGACCTGGCATTGCTTTGTGGAAAGTTCCATGGTCTATTTTCCTAGATTCAGACCTTTTTACAATGTGATTCTCAATAGCAGTGTTGTGCTAAAATCTTTCAAATAAACTTTTGAATTGGTAGATGCACCTTTTTACTTAAACAGAACTCTTGCTTGTAGCAGCTGAGCCCCAGTGTTACAGGCTTTAATCTCAGCTTGACCTTTTGTGCAGAGTAGCAGGGGTCCTCTATGGGGAGCCGGCTCGCTCTTCCTACATCTGCCCAAGCAAAGGGTGCATCCTGAGGACGACAGCATCCTGTGCCAAGTGTGGGCCCACAGAGTGTGCGTGGTCCTCATGGCAGCCCTGTGAGTTAGGGGCACTCAGCAAGGACTGTGGACCAGAGCCTGTGGGGGCCCTTCTCTAGTCCATCCCTCGGGCCTCCTTGCTCTGGGGTCATTTAGATGGCCTCTGACCACTTTGTTTCCTGCGCCTGTTCTAAATTGTGAGTAGGGCAGAAAGGTTCAGAAAAGACATTCCACTTTGATTTACAGGGATGTTCATGTCAGTTACTTTAATGTGGTTAAGTGATCTTTCTTACCCAGGATGATGTGAAGCCTATCACACACACATGATCACTACAGCTTGCTTTTTCAGCTTTTTGTTTCCTAAAGTGACCACTAGCAGCTTTCATCTCCTTTCTGTCCTCCCATTGTGCTCCTTGAGAAAAGACCATGATTATTGTTTAGTTAAATGATGTGACTTTGGTGGGAGATTAAAGCGGATGAACTTTGACCCATAACACCAATGCCAACACCTTTTCCAGGGATGTGATAACCACCCGCAGAAAGCTGCAGCCCATCAATCTTAAGAAACTAAGACACAAAGCCAGTACTTCTTTGAGGCTGGCTTTTGGGGTATGGGCAGGCCAGGAACAGCAGCAGCTGAGTGCCAGGCCCGGGCAGATTGGGGCATCTCTTTCCCACCATTTGCCCATTCTGTACCCAGGTGTTGCCTTACTTCTCCTATAACTGTGTCCTGGGGAGTGTAGGGCCCTGGGAGAGCTGACCCCTGTGTCCTGCCTTCCAGATCGGCGCCAGTGGTGTGCCATCGCGGTCCTCTTCGTGGTCCTGCTCGTGGTGCTGATCCTCTTCTTAGTGCTGTGACGGCGGGGCCCCGGCTCGCTTCCTGCTGCACACACGCCCCGGGGCAGACGGAGAAGCAGCGCGCGGCGGGCTCCTCGCGGCCCTCTCCTGGAAGCACAGCCTGAGCTGACTTTTCTCTCTGTGACCCCACCACGGAGACAGCGCCTCCAGCCCAGCGTGGGGAGGGCCGGTGGGCAGAGGAAGTCGACGACTGTGTGCTCCTGGCTCCCCGGCTCCCATTCCGAGGACAGCTGGCTCTGCTTTGCTCCCGCCCCGGACCTCGCTTCCCCCAGAGGGCCTTCGAGGAATCCAGGAACCTTCACGGACTCGGCTCCCGTTGGCTGACGCTTATTCCATCCGTCTTTGGCAGCTCTTTTCTCCCGTTCAGACCCTTCGCCCATCAGACGGCTCGCGCTGGCTATTGCAGAAACATCCACAGCAGGTGTGAGTGCCTGGATAGGTCTTGCATCCTGTCGAGGCAGCGCTGTCGCACTCCTGAGAGCTGGTGGTTAGTGGGGACAGAGAGCTCCGAAGTACTTTGTGATAGAAGATGCAGTGATTGGTTTTTCAGGGGTAAGTGCTAGGGTGAAAGTGCTTCTGCAGGCTCTGTTTTTTGTGGTAGGAATAACCAGTGGAAAAGAATGAAAAGCACTGGGCTTTGGGGCTGCTGACAACTTGTGACTTGAATCAAAGGGAGCACGAGGCAGCAGGGCACAGCCGTGGAGGGCGGGTGAGGTCGCCGGGGTCAGGCCCTTGCTGGATTCATTCCACTGTCCTACAGCCACCTCCCCAGAGGGGCAACTTGCATTCCTAGGGGGACCCTGAAATGAGCGGCTCAGAGGCTCACGTGAGTGGCCTGAGGTCCCAGGGTGGCATCCCCAGCAGTTATTTTATTCCGGCAGCACTCCGCCTTGAGGGCTGGCAGTGGTCAGTATGTTAATGGCATTTATCAGAAACCATAATGTCAAAAGAGGCTAGTTCTGGACCAGATTTTTCTTACCCTATAATTGTAAGGATGGGTAGGTAAACGTGGTTCTTTTTTCTCTAAGACAATGTGGTTTATCATCCATTCAAATAACTGAGCTCTTCTGGATTTAAATGACAGATGCTTTCATTGGGTTTTAGTTGCTGACCCTGCTGAGACACTATACACTCCAAGCTTCTGGTGACTTTTAAAATGCCTCCAGTGTACATGTGTATATAGGATATTTTTATAACTTCCCTGATGAAAACCTAGGATTGAAGTAGCAGCTGAGCCTGGAGCCAGCGTGTGGCGGTGGCAGCTGCCGGTCCCTCCTCACCATCTCCCTCTGCACTTATGAAGCAACATCTGGGAAGAATTCTGGCTTCGACTCCCGTCTCTTCATCTTTCGGGGTCCATTCCTCAGCACACTTTTTTCCTTCTTTCTTTCTTTGTATCTTGTTTGTGTCGAGCTTCTGTTTTCCCTTTTTTGTGTGTGTGATTTGCAGTGATGTACTTGCCCAGCTAACCCTTGAATTGCACTTTGGAATAAATTCTCATAACAATTTTTTTAAAGAAGGGTATTTTCTCGTGTTTAGGATCATGGTAGGTCAGGAAATCTGCCTGTGGATGAAAAGCTGAAAGCAGGTTTATAAAATTAAAAGGGTGGTTGACATCCACGTTTACACTCCACTCTACTTGATATGTAAGTTATTTCTTTTCAAATTAGGGGAAAAAGTGATCTTTACAAATGGCTTCAGATGTGGGGTACTAGATTACTTCTCCAAGTTTTGACCTTGTTAAAGTAGTCTCCTACAAGCCGAAGACAACAGCTGGTCCTTAAAATGTCTTTGTTAACATCCATGTGGACCCTGTCTCAGTCCTGTGATCCCCCCCCTTCCACGTTACACAAAGTAGCCGGCTTCTTGATTGCCCTGTTTAAACACCATGCTGTTCTCCGGGCGTTACCAGATTGATGGTGTCCTTCAAAACTGACATTGTGTCTGCGGGGCCTGTTGGGAACACGCTGGTCATTAGTAAGCTTCTCCCCAGGCTTCAGGGACCAAATTTTGTGATGCCAAAACTTAACTACTAACTATTTGGGGATATTGAGAGTTGGCAGACTTGCTCATTTAAGGTGTTTGCTAAACTGTGGCTATTGCAAACCAGACTGAAAAGGAAGCTATTTAGAAAGTTTACTCAAAAGCTAGGCAATGCGTTTTCCCTGTCTCTGACCGTGCAGGAGCTGTTCTCGGATAGGCCACCTTTTAATGTGTCTGTCGGAGCCACACAGCCCCAGGTGACCTGATCCTGGGTCTGACCCTGGCTATTGTATATCAGGACTGGGCGCAGACCAATGTTCATTTGAAGGCTCCCCAGTGAAATTCCAGACTTGCAGACAGAGCTTGCCAGGGGCTTAGATTCATTTCTAAGGATAAATGTTTCCTCATCAGTGACCTAATGCTGTGAGTTCCCTGCTATGATCCACTGACCCTCAGTGGTGGAATGCGGGGTGGGGCAGATGCCCACGATACCTCCATGAGGCTTAAAGGCACTTCGTGTAGCCATGGGGCCTTTCCCCTCCTCAGCATGTACTTCATCCGTACTCGTCATTGCTAAAAAAGCTGGCAGGATATGATGGATAACAGAAAGAGCTCAACTTCTGTTTATTGGGAGAACATTTTACTGATCAATTGGTTGGGCAGGGTGGGTAGAATGGGGGAATGAACCACTGAAAGAATTTGCCAGAGCAGGAATCCAGCTGGGAAACCCAAAACACCTTTAGTTTTTAGTCCTGGTTTTTGATCTTGTCTGTGTGAACTGTGAAAAATCACAAACACACTCTGTGTGCCTCTACCGTGTGGCAATTGGATGTCACAGCATGTGTGTTACATGAGGCTCTTCACGCCAGAGCCGGGGGAGAAGCTTGGTAACTTGCCCATTATTCTCTGCTTTTAGCCAGAGTTAGACAGACTGATGGGTCTGGTAGCCAACAACTTGGCAACTTCCAGTCCTTCTCACCTCGTGAGATTAAGGGCTGCGAAGAGAAATGCAATCTTAACTCCAGCAGAAATCTGTCTCTGTGAAGTGTTTTACCTTCTGTAAGTGAAGGTGGCGGAGCCAAGATTTTTCTTTTGGTTATTTCCCTGGCTGTCAAGTGAGACCATTACCACCTTTCTCGAGAATTCATAGCATCTGAAGATCTAAAACCAACTGATAGATACGAGTTGCTTTTCCACGCTGGAATTTGGACCATGTGGTGTTACCTGGTACACAGGACAAATCTGTAAACAAAATTCGGACCGTCTAGAAAGCTCAAGTTCTAAAATATGGGACACAGTACTGCCAGTGCGCCCTCTCTGTCTTCCTCTCACTGGCATTTCTGCCCCTTCCAGGTTTTTTAAGAAAAAAAAATTTTTTAAAGACTGTTCTTTGTCTATCAAGTGCAGAGAGAAGGTGAAGCCAAAGGTCCCACAGCCCCACAGTCCGGCAGCCCTGTGCCTGAGCCCAGGGCACAAGAACGGGGCCCAGGGTAGGACCCTGCGGCCTCCCGCTCCCAGCCTCTGTCTGTGGGGCAGGGGGGAGCTCCCTGGTGGGGGGAATTAGCCTTCCTGCCCCGTTTGGTTACCCGTACCCAGCTCCCAGTCTGTGCTGAAACCAAGGAGCTCCTTTGGTCTGCCTGGTAACACTCCCAGGGAGACTGCTGACCGCTGTCTGCTGTCGGGTCCAGAAACCCAGGAGAGTTCTGAGTCGAGAGAACAGTCCTCAGACACCAGAACAGCCCTGCTGTGAACCTGGAGGCCAGAGCTCCAAGCTCGCCGACTTCTGGGGTGTTAGCGCCCTTAACAGCAGACTCGAAGGACTTAGGGTCACTTAGCTCAGTCCTCTTGTTTTCAGAGCTGACACCCTTTCAGCTCCCTGAGCAGACGGGAGTAACTGGGTGGGCTGCAGTCCAGGCTTGGCACCAGGGAGCCCACCCACTCTCGGGGACAAGCCGAGCTCAGCGACGGGACGGAGGCTCGTAGTGACCTGTGCTCCCTGCTGAGCTCAGCCACCTGACATCTTTTGCTTTTGGATGAGCACGAGGCTCTGAATGTTACAGTGGCGCTCTGGTCGTGTCGCTGCGATGTCTGTGGGTTGGAAGTGCTTTGTTAGGTGATATGACCGTCTCTTTACTAGGACAGACACTTGGGGAGGTGAGAAAGAAAGGACGAGAACTTGGCTTCCCTCTGACACACTAACGTGTTGGTGCTGTTTTCCTTTGCATGTGACCTGTGTCCAAAAGTGCCCTTCCCCGAGGCCGTGCAGAGGGGAGCTGTGCTTAGCATCCAGGCGCCTGCCCTGCTGCTTGGGCTTCACATGAACATTTCACGGTCCTGACCCTTTGTGAGAAAGTGTATTTTGCCTTTTTTTCTCTTAAAAGTTACGAGTTATCCAACCTGGAAGCCACTTGATTTTCCAGGGGGGGTATTAGAAACAAGACCACCCAGCTTCGTTGTCCGAAGACCGGAGCTCGTGGGCTTGTTCCCTGGCGGCAGCCCAGCGCCCTGCTCCAGCCCAGCTTTCTGGCAGCCCTGGGGGTGGGGCCAAGTTCAGGGAGGTTCTTTTCCTGCTCTGCAGAAAGTAGGTTTTGGCTGAGACTGGGCTACTGAATGGGAATTGTGACCCCACAGCTAGTCGGTTCCGGGACAGGCAGCCGTCCTAATCCTCAGGAAAACAGTGTGAATGTACCCTGTTGTCTGTGCAGGGTGAGGGGAGGCCAGGCAGGTGTCCCACTAATAAGGCATTGAAACTGCTTGTGAGCACCATGTGATGACGTCCTGACTGACCCGGGCTGGGAGAACGCCCAGGGTGGGGGGCAGCCTGGAAACCAGGAGAGGGCCAAAGCAAGCAAGCTGTAAATGATGATGGATTAGGGTTTTTAAGTGGAAATATGCTTTCACTGGCTCACTTGTAATCAGAAATTAGTGTAATTAAAAGTTGTGTAATACGTGGCAATGCTCAGCAGGACTAAACCATTGTTTTTTTTTTTCTTTCAAGGATAAATAACCTTAGAGCA